TGAAATGTAGTTAGCACCCTAGTTTGATATATATATATATATATACACACCCACATTAGTGGCCCTCGACTCTCATGCGCCATCTGTTGGATTTCAAATGAAATAGCACAAATAATTCTTCAAAATTACATTAGGAGAAGCAGCGTTGGGTCAGGCGGATTCAATATTTCAATATCGGAACTTTTTCCCTAGATCGTATATATAGCTATACGATCTAGGGAGAATGTTCCGTTGAGCAAACAGCACAGCAGTAAAGGGGCATTGCCAAAAACACGCGGAAATTCAAAATTGTAATATTAATAACACAAGTGCCTATCACCCAATGACCCGGGGCGCTTACTGGCTACTATTGAATAATAAATTATCAAGGAATAACAAGAGCGCCATTTTAAAAGATCTTTGTCGTACTAGATAGGCAATCAAAATTGTGATATGTTTACATATGTTATCGATTAACTTTAAATTATTTGATAGTGTTGCAAATAAGTATCCTGGATCATCAGGAAAAAGGTGCTTGACATATTTATTAATAACTATTTATTTACTAGTTTTGCAATTAGCGCCCCAGGTTATACGGTGATAGGCGCTTGTGTTATTAAAAATAATTTATTTAACAGAGTGGCCAGTAAGCGCCCCGGGTCATTAGGTGATAGGCGCTTGTGTTATTAAAAATTATTTGTTTAACAGAGCGGCCAGTTGGCGACCTAGCGCCCTTCGTTATTAAAATATTGGCGCTTGTGTTATTTATTAATAATTATTTATTTAACAGAGTGGCCAGTAAGAGCCCAAGGAGATTAAAATATTGGCGCTTGTGTTATTTATTAATAATAATTTATTTAACAGAGTGGCCAGTTAGCGCCCCGGGTCATTGGGTGATAGGCGCTTGGGTTATTAATAATTATTTATTCAACAGAGTGGCCAGTTAGCGCCCCGGGTCATTGCGTGCTAGGCACTTGTTTTATAATAGTACAATTTTTAATTTTCACGCGTCTTTGGCAATGCCCCTTTATTTCTGTGCTATCTGCTCGACGGAACATTCTCCCTAGATCGTATAGCTATATATACGATCTAGGGAAAAAGTTCCGATACTGAATCCGCCTAACTTAAAGCTGGGGAGAAGGGACGGCGCTGACGGCGGTACCACCTAGGCAAGGCATCTGTTCTATATCCTACCCCGTGCACGGGATAGCCTATGGCCTATGGCCCATCCCTGCACGTGATAAGTAACACACCCCGTTGTTCTGCTGACGGGGACTGTTTGGAGCAATACGTTATTTATTAAATCAAATTTTCTTTTTCTGCCACATCCACAAGCTTGTAAGAATGGCAAGTCAAACTCAAGGAATACAACAACTTCTTGCAGCAGAAAAACGGGCTGCAGAGAAGGTTTCAGATGCACGCAAACGTAAGCTGCAATGCTAAACTGATTCCAATACTAGTTTTAATTTTTTCTTTGATATATCGACGCTGAAATTTTTATTTATTATCTTTCAAAATATATTTCTCAACATGAGTTAACTTAAAATTAATTTAAATAAGTATATACATACCTTCTGTAGCATGACTATATCAACATCATGTTTTTCTTTTTTTTTTTGCATCTACTGTCTTCCTCACACATACAAATTATTCTAGGTACTTAGTATCTTTTTGAAAAGTATTCTGTTTTTTCCCTTGCTTCATTGTTTAAATAGTAAGGTTTTAACTTGAGCACAGACTATGTGCATGGGTCAATGTCACCTGATGTATTGACCAGAATTCAATTTGTTGGTACAATGAGTTTACCGTTTGAATGAATTCACTGTTAAGCACACTTTACGTATACAAAGATGTATCAAATTATCAGTTGATAATGTTTAAAGGAGAAGTTTGTAAAAAACTGTCCAAAGTGATGACACTTTTATTTTAAGCTCAAATATGATAAACTTTTTAAGGGATAAACGTTATAATTTTAAAAGCTGTACTTTTAATATGATTATTTAAGTTAACAACTTTACTAATATGCATGTGACCAATTTTCATATAACATTTATAATTAATTTTGTTTACTAGTCTAGTATACAAAGTCATTAGTTTTAATATTTTCCTCACAAAATTTTCGTTTTAACGAATTGAAAGATGATACAAGTTTGACGTGTTCAGTTAAATATTTTTCAAGTCTTCCTAAGGTCATGGACAGTGAGAATAAATAGTACTTTGGAGAGGAATTGTCAGTCTTGCAATGTCTACTTAAGGTTATCTAATATACGTACAAAGTACCATGTTTGTTTCAGTGAAATTAATGAATAACTTTTTTTTACAGGCATAAAGAATATATATTTTTCGAAATACTATAATGGTTTTGAATATCCTTTTTTTATAATGCTTTTTTCTGCGTTGAAAGGGAGTATCTTCAGTTAAAATTTCAAGACTTCACAGCTTTGGAAGCGAGTTATTAACGAGAATGTATCTTTCAATTTAACATGGCATCTGAAGGGTGTACTCATTTTTCGCCTCTTCATTTGTTAGTATCTCAATAAAAAACGTCAAGATTGAGGTGATATTGTTCTATAAGAAAAATAATGTAAGTAAGGATCATATTAGTGTTCTTTAAATAACCATTCAGTGAATCTAAAGTTACTACTAAATGAAAAAACAAACAAAAAAACTAGGTTAGAATTCATGTACACATGTATACCTTAGGATATAGAATATATCCTTTATAAGTATAGAAGGCCAAAGCGGCCAGTTTCTTGATACAGAAAGCTCACGTCCCCCAGCTGTAGTAGGCCCCCCATAAGGCAGGTGGCGATAGCTTCGATGCAGTGTGGGGACCCTCTCACACACATGTACACTTTGGCTCTCCATCCTTCTCTAACCATCCGCTAGGTGTCTAACTATTCAACTTGACCTTCTCGAAAGTGCCCTGATTTCATGTTGGTTAATATATAAGGGCGTTTAAGATTGCGCTAGGGTATCCCCACGATATAGGTGTCTAAGGCAGGAAGCACGTCATCAACCTTACTGATGAGTCCAGGCGTGCTCCTGGAATGAAACATCAAACAATATTTTCTCTCTTTTCATGGCATCACTCGATAGCCATAGTATCAGTTACCAATAATACCATGAAAGATCGGTAATTACCATGCGAACGGTCGGTGTTGATAATAATTGTTGTAATAATGAGGAATTTCGAGGAATGCACACTAAAACAATAATCTTCCATTAGAAAATAATTAAAACAACAAAATTTGAAAATAAAATTTCCAATTTCAACTGAAGCTCTTATACCTGGTTAAACACTTTATGTACGGCTAATAACTTAAGGGGGTAGTGTCACTATGTATAGTCAATTCGTGTTCTGAAATACATAATGTGTTCCGAAACAGACAAGTAAAAATAAATGTGGCAACGCCGCATGAGGCGAAAACCCTCTGTATATCTATAATTGTAAGTATAAATACGTTCGGAGATTATATTGTACGTCAACATTGAGTTGGTGGTGAAATCTCCGTTGCAACATCTTTACGGATTTTTAAATACACACTTTTAATTTGTTATAACTAAACAACGGTGAAGCTATGGATGCTGTTCTTGAAATATGATGCTTGAAACATACTATTTTGCATTATATTTCAATTTCAGCAAAGTCTGAAACTTTTTGTAATCGCAATCTGCAAAATACTCTTTTTGCGATAAGAGTACGTGTTAAATAGATAATTTATTTCTCAAAAACGGTGAAGCTAGGGTAACTGAAATTTTAATATGTTATTCTACATATAATTGTTAGTTTACATAAATTTTTTCAAGGCGTTCCTAAATTTTTTTATTTTTTGACACTACCCCCTTAACCGCAACGTAAGTCTTCGATAGCTGAACGGTCAAAGCGCTGGATTTTCTTTTGCGCTCTGGGCTTCGAATCTGAACTATACTATTTTTTTTTTTTTTTTTTTTTCAAGTATATACTTTCATAATACTTATCATGATACAATACATTTCTTTATAATTATTACATATTTTTATAAATATATTTATTTTATGAAATTTTGCACTGTAATAAAAAGATTTCAAAAATTTCTCTTGGCTAATGCCAATAAAATAGTAATGCGAGCATAAATTCAATGTTATACTATTACAACACGTATAATTCATTTTTTATTAGCGTTACTCAATGGAAACTGACAGAAAGGTGGCAGTATTTTTTATCAGGATAGGATACATGCAGGACAAAGGGCATATTAGACGTGAGGGAAAGTTAGTTCACATAAAGCTAGTTCCAGTTGCCGAAAATAAATCCGCACTGATCAATGCAGTAAATGATTAAATAAATTATGTACAAAAAGTATATTCACATTTTTGCATTATTATTTTATTGGCATTAGCCAAGAGAAGTTTTTGAAATCTTATTATTACAGTGCAAAATTTTATAAAA